GGCTCCGAGATGGACTTGATCAATCACAAGACCTTCCGCGGCCAATTTATCAATGACGTGCGTATTGATCTGATTACGAGTCACCTGATTTTGCGCGCCTGATAAGAAGTGAAATAGAAACGCATCTCAACAGCTATCACAGAAGGAAAAAAGGAAAAAGTGTATTGACCATTGGTGACGGGATTCATTCAACTATGAATATACTATGCATACAATAATCTACTAGACACTGACCCTATACCCGAAATCATTCCTATTTCTAGTTGTGATGTTCGAAATTACTGATGTTGGATCAATTCAGAGTAGATTGGATTCTCGGAATCTCTAAAGGTCTGCCCCATCTCGAAAATGGAATTACTTAATTAAATACGGAATTGAGATAGACTGGTAGTTCGAGGAATATTGTAGACAGAGGATCATAACTTGGTAAAAAGTGTAGAAACGCATCGGACACCACTCGGACAAAAGCAAATGTAGTGAACTGAGGATCAACGTGGCTGTCGTGGCTGCCGTTGTGATCCGGAATGAGGATATAGATGGGGATCAGAGTAAGACTGAATGTACCCGTCGCTGCATCGAAACCTAAATTAAGGAATTAGACCTACAAATATGCGATTTCAAATCAATTCGTAACAGAAAATAAAATTGTAATTACGTACCAACAGACTTCCGATAATCCTTATCGTTGAAGATTGAATTTGCTAAATCTAGGAACTGTTGTGCCCCAGCATTGTCAAGATTTGCGAAGGCTTAAACATCGGTAAGTTCCGATATTGAGTTGGCACCATGACAAATAAGCCATTATTAAATTCGACCTGAGTTTTGTAATTGGCGACGTACAAAAGAAAATTGGAGAGGTTCATGAGTTCATCGCGTTCAACGGCTGGCAGATTGCCATATATGGCTGTTGTCCCCAGCAAACGCATTTTCAGAGATGAAAAAAAACAAGAGATGAAGGGAAACAACAGGATATTTTTTTAGGCGGGAGGAACTTTTTTTTTTCTTATTTTTTGGCTTTTAAAGAGTGAATGGCGGTGATAGAGGTGTAGAGGTGGCCGCTCAACGAGCCGTGGCCCGACCCGGCGGTTCAGGTTTTAAAAGAAAAAATAATAAAAAAAAACAATATTTTAATTATGACCCGTCGGAAAACCCGAGCCCGGCCCGGGTAAAAAAGGAATATAACGCGACACTTAACCGACCCTTAAGGAGTTCCGGGCACTTTTATTACAACATATTTAATAATTTATAAATATTTATATATCATTTTATTAACATTTATGTGTTTAAATTAATATTTTATAGATACAATTTTTTGTACATTAATAAAAATATAATAAAATGTTAATTTATTCACATAAATATTAATAAAATGATATATAAATATTTATAATTTATTAAACATGTTGTCATAAAAGTGCCCGGAACTCCTTAAGGGCCGGTTAAAAATAGTGTTATATCCCTTTTTGACCCATTGGGCGGGCTGGACCAAAGTTTTCCGACGGGTCATAATTAAAATTTTGTTTTTTTTTTATTTTTTTTAAAAAACTGAACCGCCGGGCGGGTCATGGGCCAAGCATTTGAGGGCCCGCAGGGCCGGGTCGGGCCACGGCCCGTTGAGCGGCCACCTCTACACCCCTATCACCGCCATTCACTCTTTAAAAACCAAAAAATAAAAAAAAGTTTCGCCCGCCACAAAAAAATATCCAGTTGTTGCCCTTCATCTCTGAAAATGCGCTTGTTAGGGACAACAGCCATCTATGGCAATCTGCCAGCCGCTGAACGCAATGAACCTCTCATTTTCTTTTGTACGACGCCAATTACAAAACTCAGGTTGAATTCAATAATGACTTCTTTGTCATGGTGCCAACTCAATACCGGGAGTTGCCGATGTTTAACGCCTTCGCAAATCATGACAATGTTGCGGCGCAACAATTCCTGGATTTCGCAAATTCAATCTTCAACGATAAGGATTATCGGAAGACCGTTGGTACGTAATTACAATTTTTTTTTCCGTTACGAATTGATTTAGAATCACATATTTGTAAGTCTAATTCCTTAAATTTAGGTTTCGATGCACCGACGGGTACATTCAGTCTTACTCCGATCCCTATCCTCATCCCCATTTCGGATCCCAACGGCGGCCACGGCAGTGGCCACGTTGATCCTCAGTTCACTAAATTTGCTTTTGTCCGAGCAGTACCAAGTAGTAAGCCTCTGTCTAACAATATTCCTCGAACTACCACTCTATCTCAATTTCGTATTTAATTAACAACACGGTGCTTTTCGTCATCAGATTTCAGGGCCAACAACTCTGGATACTTGACCCACCCAACTGGGATTAAAAACTTATCATCATGTCGGAGACCTAATTGTTTGAATCTTCCCTTGTGAGCCTCCAGTGAAAAATCTGCCTTTTTTCTCCATTCCCCCCTTTCGGGTCGACTCATCACCCAAATCTCCTACGAATAATCCCCGAAACGACGCAATAACGACATATACCTTCCAGTCGACAGGTAAATATTGTTTACATTCCCAGTTCCAGCTACAAGGATAGGGCTACAGGGATAGGGCCAGGGGTCTCTATAAAAGTTTCAGTCTCCAGATTCACAGTCAAGACTTGGTTGGTAGGGGGATGAGTCCAATGCATGAAACCTTCAGA